CTTGGAATACATTTCAAGCATCATGACTCTCGAAGTCGGCGATCTAGTCCTGACAGGTGAGTCCCGTGAACGTTGCGTTATTTGAAGCGCGAAAGAAGGCTCAGTCCAGTCGATCTCTGCTATACCCGCGCGCACAGGTACTCCTCAGGGTGTTGGGAGAGTCGTTGCGGGCGACGTCATCACTGCCGGTCTTGGTCTGCCAGACTCCAAGGAGGATCTGACAAAGCTAAAGATCAACGTGGCTGATCGCCAAGGGCTTTTCCAGGTAGACTAAAGCGCGAATACGCAGCGCTTTGCCGCCCCATACAATGCTAATGGACTGTATGCTAAGTATTGCTACATGCACGCGTGTCTGTGCTTGCGCGCATACGTGTGGATGTGGATGTGGATGTGGATGTGGATGTGGATGTGGATGTGGATGTGGATGTGGATGTGGATGTGGATGTGCGCTTCCATCTGCTATCCTCGCAGAAAGTCAAAGGTCACATTGACAATGTCTTCTAATTGATTCGCAATTCGAGCCCGTTCCGTAGCGTACACTGCGCCGGGATGTAAAGGACCCAAAGCAGATTCGCAGTATATCTTGACCTAGAAGAAGGTGGTCATTGACGCCGGGTCAGCACATCGGATCCTCTTCTTGAAGCGCAAATGCCCTTTCACGGCTTACCTTTGGTTCCGTACCGCTCGGCCGGACCTGCGTCGGGAACATAGCTCACGAGGCGTGAGTAGAGTTAGAGCGACGTGGAACTCATTCGGGATGAACTCACTTGTATTCTAGGCGCTCCCAATCTGATCTCCTCCAAGCTTGCCGTACCCCTCTTGATGTCGGGCGTTTCAAAGTAAAACCTCACAACGTCGCTCCTCGGCATTTGTCCCTCTCTGCAATCCTGCGCCTTTGGCGCATCTTTCAGATCCTCGATCAGCAGCACCTCGTGCTCGCCCAATCTGCTTGGCAAGTTGCTCCTGATCCTCTTCATCACCTCTGCACCGCTCATTCCAGGCGTCAAGCGAATGGTCCTCTGCGTATTGACGGCCAATCCCACTGATCTGTGCACCTCTTCCAACCTATCCAATAGCGTTTTGCCTTCCTGCCGAAGCTCGAATGCCAAATCGGCCAGCAAAAGCAGCGCAGAAAGACCATCCTTGTCCCACACCAGGTTCAGCACCATGTATCCCAAAGCCTCTTCGTAAGCAAACAGGAATTCGTCGCCTGCCTCATCAAGTCGCGACGCGGCTGGTCCGAGCCATTTGAAACCCGTCGGAGTTTCCCTGTGCGAAGCGCCATACTTGAGAGCTAGACGAGCCAACAATCTCGAACTGACTATGGTGTTGAGCACCCAAGACTTGCTGAGGTTCGAGCCTCGTTCAGCAGCTCTCTTCTCCGCTCGTCGAAGCAATGTATCGCCCAGCAAAGATCCGATATCGTCGCCAGAAAGCTGAAGCATCGAACCAGATTTGTTGCGAGCGCAAACGCTCAATCTGTCCGCATCCGGGTCGTTGGCGATGGCAATCTCGCATCCTTGCTCGTTGGCGAGCGCAATTACTTTGTCCATCGCTCCCAATTCCTCTGGGTCTGCGGCCAGAGCGAGGTGACGCGTCAGCGAAGTCAGACGCGTGTTCTTGTGCCATGGACCACTCACTTGGGAACTTGACAGTGGGAAAGTGTCCATCCGGCTCGCGCTGCTCTGGCACAGTGAAGAAGGCGTACCCACGCCTCTTCAACAGCTCTTCGCCCACAGGAGCACCCACGCCGTGGAGGGGCGTGTATGCTACTTTAAAGTCCTTTGGTTGGAGAGATGCCTGTGATAAAGGTGCCGACGTGCGGTCCAAGATGGCCTGCGCGTACTCATCAAAGATGCTCGGCTCTAGCCAGCGAATCAAGCCTTTCTGTACAGCCTGCAACAAGTCTATGGAGAGGGGAGGCCTAGTCTCTTTGGCCACCTCGTCGATGTGCCTGGCAATCTGATCATCTATGGGCGTGTTGATCTGCGTGCCACCAGCTCTGTAAACCTTGTAACCATTATACTCTGGTGGATTGTGTGAAGCGGTAATGACGATGCCTGCTCTCGCGTCCAGCTTCCGAACGGCGAAACCACAAAGCGGCGTTGGAGCTTTCTGCTTGAAGAGGTGAACGGTGATACCTTGAGCAGCCAAGACGCAAGCGGCCGAAGCTGCAAAAGATTCCGAATCCAATCGTCCGTCATAAGCCACGACGACTCCTTGATTTCTCCCTGCATCCTCTCCATACTCTTCCTTGACGAACTTCGCAAGACCCAAAGTGGTCTCTTGAACGACGAGCAGGTTCATCCTACCAGGTCCAGGTCCCACGATACCTCTCAGACCTGCCGTTCCGAAGGCCAGCCTTTCTTTGAAAGCCACTTGGAGCTCAGCGTGTGAATCTGCATCTTCACGCGCGAGGAGAGACTCGAGTTGATCTCGTGTGCGCTGGTCGGGATCTTTGGAAAGCCATGCTAGAGCTGAGGGAGCGTAGGGGGAGGTGGAGGTGCATAGAGGCGCACCTCCTGCGCTTCGTGAAGCCAGCAGACCGGACATGGCAAGCGAGATCCGGCGGCAATCAGATGGTCGAAATGGCACTTGTTCGAGCAGGCGACTGCCGGCAAAGGTGACGAGAGTTCAGTGGATCACCGTCATGGGATGTGCGTACTAATAATGGCAGTGCAGTGGTAGGTAATCTTGTGGATTGCTCGCTCGCTCGCTTGCTCGTGCGCTCGAGGCTCCTCTCCGCACGTTCAAATTGGCCGGAGCGTGTCGCCTTCTCGGCCAATTCGTTCCCTTCTCAACGTCCGTGCACAGCGATTGCAGTCACAAGTCA